GGATACGGTTGGCTTTCTGGGCTGCAAGCGCACACTGAAGCTGGCTCATGTTCATTTTGTCATCAACCAACACCCCCAAGTCCTTCTCCGCAGGGCTGCTCTGAATCTCTTCTCTGCCCAACCTGTAGCTGTTCCTGGGATTGCTCCGACCCAGGTGTAGGACCTTGTACTTGGCTTGGTTAAACTTCATGAGGCTGGCATCAGCCCAACTCACAAGAATGTCAAGGTCCCTCTGGGTGGCATTCCTTCCCTCCAGTGTATCAACCGAACCACACAGCTTGGTGTCATCAGCAAACTTGCTGAGGGTGCACTCAATCCCTCTGTCCATGTCACTGACATAGATGTTGAACAGGATCAGTCCCAATACCGATCCCTGAGGGACACCACTCGTTACTGGTCTCCAATTGGACATTGAGGTGTTGACTGCAGCTCTCTGTCAACCAACCAATTCTTTATCCACCAGGTGGTCCATCCATCACATTTATGTCTCTCCAGTTTAGAGACAAGGATGTCTTTCAAGTCAGGATATCTGGTTTTACGTTCTTGTTACCTAAACCAAGCTGCTACCTAAGAATTTTAAAGACCTAAAGAAGCAAACAAATGAATAGAAATAAAGAGGAAAGAACTTGACATACTTGATAATTGTGTTCTGCCCCACTGGAATTCAGTTTAATTGAACTGAATTTAATTTAAATATTCTGAAAACACAGGTAGGCTGCTTGTTTCAATGTAATTTTTATACTAAGTAGGTGGTTTTCCTGTATTTCCAGAGAGTTGAACAAAATCTGTCTTGTTGGTCTTGGTGGCTGAAAGTTCACATAAAAGCTATGTATGCCTATCTGGAAAATTATTGTGACATACTATGTATATTGAAACATTGAAATTGACATTATTCATTGCTCATGATGAAAAAATATGCAGAAGTAGTATAGTAAATCAAGTAATAAAAATAACAACAAACTAATGTCAAATGGCATTCGCAAGTTAAAGTGAAGTATAGATTACATTTTGTGTATATGAAATCCATGTTTAAAAAAAAAAATTACTTTGAATTATGTAGTAACCTTATGATCAAAAGCCACGAGAAGATGTCGTGGTCCAAAATTTTATTACTTCTGCAGCTGCTTTTATGATGTGTAAATTTTCCTAAGAAAAATTGAAACAAACTTATAAGAAGTCCTTTCAGGGCTATGCATGAAGCACTGTGGAACAGTTAATTGCTGCTGTTGTTCTACTGAGAGTTTGAAGTTTAACCTTGAAAAGTGTTATTCCTTAGACATAAAACTTCTTCTTATGAATTTTCATTCTTCCAGGGGTGTTCCCCCCACCAGTGTTTTTGCATTGTATAATATACTATCAGTAATACTCTCACTGATAGTAGATGAATGGAGATGTGGGGTAACTAAAAAAAAAAAACTTTAGCGTAGAAAGGATGACTTAATAAATAATGGATAACATCTTGACTGGAAGCTTAGGGAAAGCATAAGTTGCATGGAAGGACTTGAGAGGAACGTAAACAACTGAAAAGTAAAAACCATAGTGGAAATAAACCCGTATCAGAAAAAGAAAATGTGTGATTACTTGCTCCTTTTTTCAGTCATATGTACTATATATATATTTAATGAAATGGAGTGCAAAGATGCACTTTAATAGAGGTGGAAACAGGCAAAATGATGATGAAAAAATATGTAATGTAGTAGAGAGTCTGTGATTTGGAAAAACAAGGAAACAAATGACCAAACATTACTTTCTCATTTATAAAAGTGTAAAGCAGCATAGAAAAGGTAACCTGTAAGAGAAAAGGAAAACGTAGAGGATAGCCCCTTTGAAAGTGTTTCTGAAATGGATTTCCATTGCAGCAAGACTTTTATGATGGGGGGTGGGGGTGGGGAGAAGCTAATTGCATTCTGCTAATGAAATCATTCCTTTTCAACTTTGGAATTTTTATAAAAATTTTTGGCACTCATAAATTTCATTAATGTTTATGCCAATCTTCCAGTGGCTAGATATGTATATTTTTTTACAGTACAATATCAGATACTTTCATGGCAGTGGGTACTTTCATAAAACATAGGCAACACATAGCTGATAGAATACTGGCTGAAAAAAAAGAAAAACCTCTTTTATCCCAAATTCCAAATACAAAGGAGAATGTGAAACATACGGTACTTTGAAAGTCTTTGAAACATACAGTACTTTGAAAATGTTTGAAAGGTTTTTTTATGTTAGTTATTTTCTTTATGCTGTTGCGCAAATTTATCCCTAAGAACATGGTAGATATTTACTGGTGGAAATCCATTTCAAAAGCAGGTAAAGGTAATGCTCCGAAGGGATTCATTACTACAACTCTAGCAAAAAAAAACAAACAAATCCCCAAACCAAGAAAACCCCAGTCTTTACTCATACATTTTGTTTCTTGTATATATATTGTTTATATATTTGGTTGATACACTGGAGGGAAGGAATGCCATCCAGAGGGACCTTGACATGCTTGTGAGGTGGGCTGATGCCAACCTCATGAAGTTGAACCATGACAAGTGCTAGGTCCTACACCTGGGTCAGAGCAATCCCAGGAACAGCTACAGGTTGGGCAGAGAAAAGATTCAGAGAAGCCCTGCGGAGAAGGACTTGGGGGTGTTGGTTGATGACAAAATGAACATGAGCTGACTTCAGTGTGCGTTTGCAGCCCAGAAAGCCAACCGTATCCTGGGCTGCATCAAAAGAAGCATAACCAGAAGGTGGAAGGAGATGATCCTGCCTCTACTCTGCTCTTGTGAGACCTCACATGGAGTATTGTGTGCAGTTCTGGTGTCCTCAACATAAAAAGGACATGGAACTGTTGGAACAAGTCCAGAGAAGGGCCATGAGGGTGATCAGGGGACTGGAGCACCTCCTGTATGAAGATAGGCTGAGGAAGTTGGGTCTGTTCAGCCTGGAGAAGAGAAGGCTGAATGGAGACCTCATAGCAGCCTTCCAGTATCTGAAGGGGAGCTATAGGCATGCCAAAGAGGGACTCTTCACTAGTGACTGTAGTGATAGGACAAGGGGCAATGGCTTAAAACTTAAACAGGGAAAGTTTAGATTGGGTATAAGGAAAAAATTCTTTACTGTAAGGGTGGTGAGGCACTGGAATGGGTTGCCCAAGGAAGTTATGTATGCTCCATCCCTGGTGGTGTTCAAGGCCAGGTTGGACAGAGCCTTGGGTGACACTATTTACTGTGAGGTGTCCCTGCCCATGGCAGGGGGGTTGAAACTTGATGATCTTAAGGTCCTTTCCAACCCTAACTATTCTATGATTCTATGATACAATAGCTTTTTATATGTAATGTATGTAATCATGTTCTACACATAACTTTGCAGTGTAAAAGTGAAAGGCAGGAGATGGACAAATAAATTATGACAGAATATTGTTCAGCATAATAGGCAAACTTTAGAATCCATTTTTATGGTGTCTTTTGGGTGGGAAATTGCACTCCTGTATTTACTTAAGTGAACAGTATGTTTCCATTCAAATAGTAATGTTTTATTGAAAAATTAAAAAAAAAAAAGGCAGTTAATTTTGGAGTATGGCTCTTGGACTGCTTGAGAAACACAAATATTGATAAATTGGAAGTATCATTTCTACCAAGATTATAAAGCAGAATAACAGAAGTCTGAAATAAAAGCAAGTGAGTGCCACAGCTTTAAGTATGTTTTACTGAAGACCTTTTCCTGGCCCAGAGAGTGAGTGAAACAGCTGTTTGTTTCCATGATCTTGGTAGTATTTTTCTGACTAGCTGGATGAAGTGCTTAAAGCCATTGGCTTTCTTCCTTCAATCAGCTGAACAAATCACTTTTATATTCACAGTCAGCTTGGGGTCTCTTAATCAAAGTCTACCATCAATTTTGCCTCATTATATATAGCACACAGAAATGCAGTTGCTGATTTGGCCTAATTCTAAAATGTGTGGTTTGTAAACATGATACCCTTCCAGAGAGTGCTGTTTGGTTATGAATAATTCAGTACACCACGGTTTAACCTGCACATTATCTTGGCAATGGAATTTTATAAATCCTAACAGTCTGCAGGCATTTGTAGAGATGAGCAGTAATTTATTTTTTTTTTTTTTCTGAAGAACCTTACCTGGGCTCAAACTCTCAAGCAGTTTAAATAAGGTGATCAATTTCAACATGTGCAGAGTCAGGTTAAAAGCCAGCAGCTACAGCAAGAAGCATTTAAACAAACTGCAATGAAAGCATCCTTATTCAGCTAAATTCCAGAATCAATAATTATTAAATCTGCTGTAAAACATCATTTTCTCATCTTTTTCTCCAAGGTGAGTGTAACTAAACTCTTGTAAGTGCAACAGGTGTGAGGTACAGCCCTTATGCTGCATATGTCTGTGTCAGGGTGAATCAGGGTCCGGAAGCTGCATCTTTGCAACACAGGTCTAGACTAAGTACTGTGTTCCACAGTGCAACTGCTCGCTTGAACAACAGGGTCAGTAAGACTGAAAGGAGATTCCTAGCCTGAACAGCTGTAGTCCCCAGAAACTGCACAATGTACAGTCTCTTTACTGTTTTAGTTTTTACTGCTTTGGAAAGCAAGAAAAAAATGCTGAAAAATCTATTCTTGGTCTAGGATTTAGTGGATCAAGTGTAAAGGAGTTCAACCAGTAAACCTCATGCTGACATAACTAGTGTGCTCTCCACACTAATCAATCCCTAAGAATATAAACTCAGACCAGGAATGAAAAGGAATCCAAAGAAAAAGTAATTCTTGGAGCAGCAGAATCAGTGAAGGCTATATCCCACTTATCTGTGTCCTGTACAAACTTAAGCATGTCTACCAAGGCATTAACTGAGACTGACTATTCTTCTTGTTGCTGAAACATTTGTAACATCATTGTACCCATTGGATTATTTGAAGCCCAGTCAAGAAAAAATCTCCACCACACATTTCTTCCATAGATTCTCTCATTAGGTTCACTGACAAAGCCTTTCTCCTCTTTTCACTTTAGGAACTTTCATTTTGACAAAATATGTGATTTCTTGGTAACATTGAGATTTCTACTTATATATTTTGTTTGGTGAGTACTGACCATAGGATGGGGGAGAAAGGAAACGGACATATGAACATGAATTAAACAGAGCCACACACAGAAACACACACACTCATGAACTATGATCACATACATAGAATCATAGAATAGTTAGGGTTAGAAAGGACCTTAAGATCATCTAGTTCCAGCCCCCCTGCCATGGGCAGGGACACCTCACACTAAACCCAAGGCTTCATCCAACCTAGCCTTGAACACCGCCAGGGATGGAGCATTCACAGCCTCCCTGGGCAACCCATTCCAGTGCCTCACCACCCTAACAGGAAAGAATTTCCTTCTTATATCCAATCTAAACTTCCCCTGTTTAAGTTTTAACTCATTACCTCTCATCCTTTCACTACAGTCCCTAATGAACAGTCCATCCCCAGCATCCCTGTAGCCCCTCCCTTCAGACACTAGAAGGCTGCTATGAGGTCTCCACGCAGCCTTCTCTTCTCCAGGCTGAACAGCCCCAACTTTCTCAGCCTATCTTCATAGGGGAATTACATCCAAAAATCTTCCACACAGGTAAAGGTGGATATTTGAATGGTTAGAATAAGCGGCTTTAATCTTTTGTCTTTTGATATTTCTGCTTAAAATAAAATAATTGCTATGTAAGTAAATGAGCCAAATGATTATGGGTAGTTAACTGGTCAGGTATCTGCAAGTAACTGTTCAGTACTCATAAGCATTTTGTGTAAGATTATACTATCATTAAACCACATTTATAGTGTATTAAAAGTCTTAGTGCAATTTAGCCAAGCACATTTTTCAACATTTCCTGGAGTCATGCTTTCATGGGGAGAAAAATAATGAATGCGAAAAGATTCTTTAATTTTGCTAAGAGAGGTGTAATGAGAGCCAATATGTGGAATTTAAATCAAGAGTAATTCTAGCTAGAAATATAGCATACCCCTTTAATAATTGATCAGATATCAGGAGTGATAGATTCTTCAGCTCTTGAAGGAAAGTCTTGCCTCATAACAATAAAAGCTATTGCATTCATTGCAAGAGTAACTGGGTTAAATTACAGTGCCTCTGTTATAGAAGAGGTCATACTTTATAATTTGATAGTCTTTATTGGTTTTCAGATGAAACCTTCTGTAACACTGAGATTCGTTAAAAGGTTTAGAACTGCCAGGTAATACAGTGGTAGAATGTCTGAGGACATAATAAATAACAGCTACCCATTTATGTATTCATGAAAGAACTTTAGATTTTTATACTCTGTTTTGCTCAGATATTTTCCTCATCAGTGTTTTCACTGCATATGGGGTGCTTACATTATTTGTTGTGTGGTTTTGATTCGTACAAGTGTATCAATGTCATTTCACTTAGTAGAATCATAATACTGGGGTTTGTGGAAATACAGTGCCTCAATCTGATTAATGCAACATCCTAATTAGGATTTTTTTATTCTTTTTATCAGTTTGACCTCTAGGACTGTCAGATCTCTAACTTTGGTTTTCACTAAATTCACTTCAGAAGGCTTCAAAAAGTTATGTTAAAACCTTTATATCAGAAGTATTTTTTCTTTTTTGTTTCTTTAATAGCATTAATCCTAGTCAAAATTTGTTTATGCAGTTCACAGATTTCAGAAATATGTCACTTGGAGGTAATTAAATAATGTCCATTTCATTATAATCTAGGCTGTGAGGTCCCAGAATGGTTAACACTTAAAGAGTGCACTGTGTTTTTATAGGTTATATTAAACAGCAAATTGCAAAGCTCAAAGGTTTTACCTCTGCATAAACTCACAGTACATCAGATCTAAAGTAACCCTGAAAGCAAGTTTTGCAAATGTTTTATTCCTTTCTCTTTATGGCAAGGTAGGATTAAAGATACGTGCCCAGACCTTTTTCCTCATGGACTATTCTTATAGTTTTGATGTCTAAGTTGTCTGTTACAAGTGTAGAAGAGTGTATTATTGTGCAGAATGCACATGAGTATAAAACAAGGTTAGTATGTTCTGCTTCACTAACACGCCATGATTTCTGTATCATATTCAGCTGGTGACTTGAACAGGACATAGGAGGACCTAAATGTAAACAGAAAATTGATTCTAAATAAAAAACACATTCTCCAGGCTTGTATCTTTTTACAATCTGAGAGAAATAGCAATCATGAACAAAGAGTGCAAAGGACAGAAATGAAATCTGACAGTTCAGAGGTAAAGTATTTCAATCTTTATTTTTGTTTATGCTACCCTTATATTTTTCACTTTTTATATCTACATGTTTATACTATATGGGTGGTTACAGTGTGAGCTCTAATAAGGAAATGCAGTGAAAAAAAAAACCTTTTATCATTATTGCTTAGATCAGTGCAAAACTACACCATTCATATTGTTTACAGAAAGAAAGGACTGCAGGAAATACCTTCATTTACTCTTGACTTTGCTATGCTGACATGAAGTTTTAACAACTGTAGGATTCTTAGGCTGAGCTGCAGCTAAACACATTCATAAGCAAGCATACATCAGTAAGATCTTTGACTAATAGTCTCACTGCATTTCAATAATGTTTCATCTTCAAGATCTGGCTGCTTTACAATGAATCCTCACCACAGGATATGAAATTGTATGTGTGTGGTATGTGTGTGCATAGCCTTCAAAGAAATGAAAGTAATCAGAACAAGCCATCTATAATTAACTAAAGATTGTAGTGAAAGGATGTAGTTCATTGAATGAGTGAATAGTTCCCTTTTAAGTTAATTGTTAAAATAATATGATCAGCAATTCTAACAGAATACATTCCCAAGACACAGAAGCACTGTTTTTCTTTAGCAAATATATGTTGACTAAGTATGGTGGGCTTATGCTGAGAATGACAGTGCCTTTTGTTGGTAAGCCTTTGCCATCTGTTCTAATGATTTATTCATACCTAAGAAAAAGCAGGTGAAACTACAGAATGGAGATAAATAGCAATGAATATGTGCTGAATTGGCCTGTGATTGTGCAAATATGTTAACACTAATGTTCAGGCAATTGCTATCATTCAGATGACATCTTCACATACTATTATGTGATCTTAGGTGCAAAATATTGAAGATGCAATGCAGAAGATCTATTTTTAAGCAAGGAATGATTTCCATTCTGTCTTCAGACGTTCATCCCTTATTATGGATAATATTATAAAATATTTATGTATACTTTGGCCTTTCATATGTAGCAGATTGTAAGGACAAATTCTGATGAAAGTTCTCTGCATCAAAGATTCCTGGAAGCTGTCAAGATTCTACAATAGTTTTGCCTTATTTCTAAGTCTGTATTATTGAGTCATTTTTCTACAGTTTACTGGGCTAGATAAAGCTTTGGTCTCATCCTGTCTAGCCGTTCCTTTGTGGAGCTAAAGTCTAGTAATCAAGAATCTAGATTTTTGTCATGGTAACTAACTTCCTGAATTTCATTTTAATATATACTGGTTTGGGCTGGGATATAGTTAATTTTCTTTATAGTAGCCCGTATGGTGCTGGGTTTTGGATTTGTGACCAAAACAGCGTTGGCAATACAGGGATGTTTTAGTTACTGCTGAGTATTGCTTACACAGAGTCAAAGCCTTTTCTGCTTCTCACACTGCCCTGCCATCGAGTAGTCTGGGGGTGCACAAGCACCTGGGAGGGGACACAGCCAGGACACCTGACCCCAACTGACTAAAGGGATATCCCATACTGTATGATATCATGCTCAGCAATAAAAGCTGGGGGAAGAAGGAGGAAGCAGGAGGGACATTTGGAGTTAGAGTGTTGGTCTTCCCAAGTAACCATTATGTGTGATGGCTATCTGCTTTCCTGGAGATGGCTGTACACCTTCCTGCTGCTGAGAAATGGTGAATTAGTTTCTTATTTTGCTTTTCTTGCATGCACAGCTTTTGCTTTATCTATTAAACTGTCTGTACTGTTTATTTTATAATACACTTTTACAACATAGATTGCTTGGCTTGATCTGTCTTCATTTCTTTCCATTTTAAGTTTGGCTGTTTTCAGCCATTACCTACTGAAGTTACATAGTAGGCTTCCCCAGGACTGATTATCATCAATATGATTATGTTTCCCTGGGGTAATGTTTAATATTTATTCACTACAAGGGTAGTTATAGCCTTGTGATGTGTGAACCTCACAACTAAAAAAACCAGGCAGGAATAACTAATAACCTGACTGCTAGAAAACTGTTGTTATAGCTAAAACAAGGTAAAAAAATAAGCTCAGCCAAAACAAAAGATTGACAGTTCCAGACTGCCAGGTCAGTACAAAATCTGTGGGCTTTTATTGGTTACAATAAAATGGTATTTAATGGGATACAGATGGCTTTGCTAACAAATAACCATTTTGAAGACTAATTAATACCCATTACAAAAGTAATGTGATTAAAACTGTATTAACTTTCTCTGGGATTTTTCTGGTGTTGATCCTCATGCATTAATATTAAGCAGCAATTCAGAATATGTTCATTAGCAAATAATAGCTGATAAATCTTTAGAATATCTTCCAAGCTTCTTCCTGGTGTGTGCAGCATTGACAATGTCATTCTTAGGTTCCCTAGAATAGGTATTTAATTTCTTAGTTTTTTTAGATTGATTGACCTGTGACTGTAGCATAATTATCTATATAGTTTTACAGCTTTTCCCAGGAAAATGTAGATGCTTCAAAGAAGCAGCATATTCAGCTTCCCAGAAGGTATTGATTGTTCCATAATGGAAAATATTTAATGCTTGGAAAAAATTCTACCCTAATAGTTAATGTGCATTTTTCTTCATTTTGTCTCTTCCTCCTACTTTTAGCTTCTCCTGTATTAAAATAATCAATGCTGAACATTTATAATTTTTCAGTGTTTTTTGATTATTACTTCTGTTTCTGCCCTATACATTAGTTGTAATTTAGCCACAGTATTTAAATCATATGACTTCTCATTAATCTGCCACATGCTGTAAGTAATAAATGAGAGACAAAAAGTTCTGAGAAAAAAAAACAATATTCAGGTATTTCCACGTTTT